AAAAAAAAAAAAAAAAAAAAATGAGTCTGAGTTGGAATGCAGGATCACCTTTAACAGGTGAAAGCAACATTGGAATTCAAATCCAAGCCTGTGTGACTCTGGCACCTCATGCCTCCCAGCAGTCCACACTGACCAGAGCGCAGCCAGACTTCTTTTTCACCTTACCTCCGGCTTCACCTTTTCAGAACAGTAAGCACATGCCCTAACATTTCCTTATTTACTGATGGCAAGTGTCTGCCAAACAGCCACAGAAGCCACATGCAATCGTCACCGACTGAACTCGGACAACGGGATGTTGACCCACTGAGACCTTGCAAAGGCATACTTCCAGTTTGTCTACTTGCCGCACACGGTCGAGACAAAAGGGGTGTCTGGTGTGTGCAGACCTCCTTGACTTACCTGTCTCCCAGTCCCAGAAGCAGGTGGGAGAGAGGTAGACAAACCGCACGTACCCTCCCCACACCTGACCCCCAGACCCAGTCTCCTCCTCCATCCTGATCCCAAAACAGCAGAGACCTGAAGTCAGATGAGCAGCATGGCGGGGTTGCACAGCACATAATACTCCAAAATATAAAACGAAGAAGAACATTTGACCCGAGTAGGAAAGTAGCACAAAACCGCAGTGGTAATCAGTGCCTCTGTTACCAAGTGCTAGTTCTAGGCATGGTTATGTCATGCAGAGAATTTCACCAGGGAGAGCTGTGTCTGCATTTCAAGGCCCTCCATAGATGAGTCCAACCCCATCTCCACTCTATCACCCATCCTGCTGCTGCCCACCTTGGCTCTTTCAATAGTGACAGCCCTTGTTTGCAGCTTCATGTACTACGGTGCTTCGCCTGAGGAAAAGGCTCTCCGAGTGTTCCAAAACTCAGACTTTAGGGAGCTTGGGAGCAGGCACACACTCAAGGCAGCCAAGGTGGCATTTCAGGCAAGGAGGCACAGGGTGGGAAGTGGTGGGATTAAGACAGACCTTGACAGCAGTTACATTCAATATTTTCACAGTTTCATCTTACCGTTGTTCACAGTGAAATTGCTAGAAATATAGGTTTCATTTTACAGTATTAATGTTATAGAAAGTTAGCTATGTGTCACTTGGTTTTTTCAGGGTAAGTTTGAATTGCTGATTGAATATAATTTGGGACCGATGACAAATGAGTGGATTCTTGGCACCACTAATAGTAAAAATTGTTCCCGACGTGTCCCTGGACACTAATTTCCACTCAGTTTTTGGGCTACAGCAAAGATAATTTCAATTTGCAAGCTCATTAAGTGATCGTGCCGATTCTGAGGAATTTTGTTCTCAGCCTTGAGATCTATGCCTTTAGATAACCACAAGTTCTGCTTCTCAGATAAAATGATCATAAAAACAGATAAAATATTTTAAAATATGAGTAATGTCCCTGAAAAATATTATCTTCCAAGGTCACATTTTCTAAAAGGCTGATGATTTTATGTGGAGAAAGTTCAGTATTAATAATTCTCCCTCACAAGACGATGTTTGATCATCTCTTTTTTTTTTTCACTGACAGGAAGGCTGAACTTCCAGGTCAGAAAAACTGAGTACAACTCAACTTGAGCTCCAAGATTTCCATGGCCACCAGCAGCTGTGGAGACAGACATGCTCAATGGTGCTGACCCTGTGATATCTCCATGGATGAATTCAGCACTTCTATTTGCTGACAAGCCCTCACAAAAGGATGAGCCATTTCCAAGTACATTTACTACCAGACTAACAGCCTCTCCGGGTAAAATCATTGTGGTATGTGCCATTTAGAAGACAGTAGAATATTTAAAGGAAACATATACCTAGATTAAACTACTCGCTTATTAATTTTGTGATCAGGAGCTAGTTATCGAACATTGATGAACTTCAATTTTCTCATCTGTAAAATGGGGATGATAAAAACTATCTCATAGGACCGAGGCAATGATTAAACAATGGACAAAAGGTCCTGCATGGAGCCCAGCACAGAGACTCCAGAGCCTGCATGCCGTTCCTGTCTAGTAAAGCCATCCTCGGCATGGACATACTTGGTCAGCTGCAATGTCACTGTCTGTATTTGAAATAGCCCACTCACTGTGCTTTTAGAAAGACACTGTATTTCACATGCCTCACTAATCCAAGCCAATCTTTTCATTCTGTGAGGTTTTCCTGAATCAGTCACCAGTTCTCTAAGAACATAAGTGTTTTTATGTGGTTTTATTCAGTTTAAGCAAGCAAAGCATGTTTTAGAAAACTTCAGCCCTTATCTTTCTTGACCTCCGTGGGAGGGCAAACCTCAAAAGCTATTCTTCTCCCGATTTGATCAATAGGAGCTATTATCTTCGCAGTTTCTCTGAAGATTGACTTTTTGGCACTGATTCTGCAAACCATAAGGTTTTGGTATTTAAGCCTCAACAGTGGGAGTGTTATTTGGAAGGAAGGGGAAAAAATGAACCTTGAATCCTCTTCATTGATAAAAGCCCGTGCTCTCTGAAAGGATTACTGGTTCATCTCAGCAGTTGGCAGGTAGAGACCCAACGTTCACAGGATGTGGAAGCCTTTCCAAGAAGCACCCAGCCATGCCACATCCTGTGTCCCTACTTCGGTGATGTGTGAGGTTCCACAAGCACGTGACACACTCACAAGACAACCGGCCACCCCAGAGGCCGCCAGAGGCCAAGTACAAAGGAAATGAGAGGCTGCCCCAGGGCCTTTCTTGATCAGTCACCGAGTACCAGAATACCGTCACACCTGGGTGGGCCCACAAGGGCCAGGATTTACTTATCACAAACTCTGTTCATTGGATCCATAGGACTTGGTGAAGTTACTTCTAGGGGGACATTCAAGAAGTTGGGGTATGGAGGACGAGAGTACAAGACTCTAGGTCCTTCTAGACAGGCACGATTCTGCTTTTGTCTGATTTTCCAGATTATGTTTGCAAGTGTGGTAGAAAAGGCTCCAGAATCTTAAGCAAATTTTTGAAAAATTTTGTGATACAATCTCCTCATTTTACAAAGAAAGTGAGGCCCACAGCCGTCAAAAGCGACTTCAGCAAAACAATTCAGAAATGCACACTGACTTCTCACTGAGTTCCGCTTTTTTTCTGTCTGCACACCTGAGGTGTGATATGTATTCTCAGAGGCTGAGTCCTGAGAGACACTCAGAAACAGCCAGGGTCAGGCACACAAAAGAGGCACATTTTCTTCCCCTGGTGAAAGAAGGCCTCTGGTTCTGATCATTGGGGGGTGGCGGGGAAGGAAGCAGAAATGACGATGGCTTTGAGATCACTGGTCTGCAGTGTTATTTCAGGCACAGCTCGGTGAAGGCTCTTGGCCCTGTCTCCCTCCTCTCTATGGAAAAGCCCACAACCAGGTAAATCACCTTAACCAAGGGTGCCTTTCTGGAAAAGGAACTGCTG